GGTCCTTTGGAAACTCGATAATAATTCACTTCTTCATTTGCCACCAAACGTCAAACTAAGCGCGTGGTTTCCTCAACAGGAGATTCTAGCTCACCCCAATCTGAAGTTATTCATAACGCACGGTGGATTGTTGAGTACCATGGAGGCGATTTATCACGGAGTCCCAATCGTCGCGATTCCGATCTTCGGTGACCAGGAAATGAACGCGGCGAATGCAGAAAACGGTGGCTATGCAGCTGTAGTTCCCTACGAGCAATTAAACGAAGATAATCTGCGACATGCGGTGAATGAGGTTTTGAAAAACCCAAGGTGAGTTCTGATTCTTAAGTTCTTTTTACGATCCACCGTTCTTACAGGTATAGGAACAACGCACTTCAACGATCCAAAATCTTACGCGATGAACCTATTCCACCTTTGGATAAGGCGGTATTTTGGGTTGAATATGTGATTCGGCATAACGGAGCGCCTCATCTGCGAACGGCCGCCTTAAATTTACATTGGTATCAATACTTATTGTTAGATGTTGCATTATTTGTAATTGTTGTTACATTAAGCATTGTATTTATGTTCAAGAAATTGATTAACGTATTATGTAGGAAGTCTAGATCTAGTAAGGAAACAAAGAAAAATAGTAAACTAAAAACCAACTAGAGCTGCGTAGTTTAGTGAAAAATGTTGTACGTCATAGAGCTTTTACAAAATACATATCTATTTTAAAATAGTTCAATTTCGAAACTGTTATGAGATGAGTACATCTAAACATCGTTCGTGGTAAGATTTACTTCATTATAGTGGACCAAGTTAATAATAAAATTAGCTCGAAAATTAGTCTATGAATATATTACCAGTTTCTTGTGAAGCGGGGAGCACCTTGTTTTAACTCAGTTAGTTTGTCAGACTGGAGAGATCCTAGATTTGGAAAGGTGGGTAACTCCCTAAGACCACGGGATGTGGGTTGACGAGAATTTAGTTGAAATGTCGGACATTCATAAAAATATGGGGGGCTTCTCTAGAAGTGGATGTTTCGGCTAGCCCTATCCAATGTATGGCGTTCGTCACTTGACGATGCTCTAAGAACAAGCGTAGATTATCTTCCATTGTGATGTTGATGGCAAATGGGAGAGCTGGTCTCTTTCATGACCCTTTGCTCTAGGGCAGCAGCCCGCGAGGCGTCTTATTGCGGCCCACAAGATTCTCGCCGCAATAGTTATTTACATAAAAGTCACATAATGTCATTTTACTGACGAGTTTTGTATTAAATTTTACTCGAAATCGTATTTTAACATAAAATTTCAATTTTCATATAGAACTTTTGATTAATGCCAATCTGTCATTGCTGACAGGAGTCATTATAGACATTTAGCAATATGACAGGTGCGGCCTTTTCCAAATTAAATTATTCATATGTGAGAAATTTTGATACCTAATCATGCATGCTAAAATCACTTTATTTAATTGTTTACCATAGAGATTTCAAAATAATTAAACAATCAGTGTCATTTTTAATGCAGTTTATGCTTTGTACCTTTCAACTATATAGTTATATAGGTACAAAAGCAGGTATCAGTGAAGAAGAGTACCTACGCGAGAAGTTGTTATAATGTAGCCGAAACTGCGGCCGCCGTAGTGCAATATTCGCTCCCCACAAAGTCAAGAAAGAGATACGAAAAGGCGTACAAACCTTTTAAAGACTGGCGCAAAACTAAAGGAATAATTACTTCCACACATATTCCATTAATTGTTAGTAATTAAAAAACCATTATCCTTTGTGTAGGTATAAAATATCCACATAGTCTGCATTATAATTATCCAATCGTTGATTGAATAACTTATTCAATGAACGATCTAATTGTTATTTGGCATGTACTAGGACTGTAATGGGAGTCAGGCAAAAATATTACAGTACTAGTCAGGTAAAGATCAACTTTCTAATGTCAAAATAGCCCGGAAATTTAGATTTTCTTGACGGTTTCAGGTAAAAATATTTCGCCCTTCTACAAAAAAGGGTTGCCGACCTCTGCTCTAGGGTGCTCCTAACATATACAAATAAATTGTTACACTATTGCTTGTAATACTCATTGGGAGCTCTCCTGCCATCGACACTTCTTTTTGTTAACGCATTGATTTCCCGTTTCGTTCGTTGTAGTTCTCCTTATTGAAGTTTCGACGTTTAATTGATAGATGTACTTTTTGTGTACAGGCTAGAGTTACCTACGCCGCCGTTTATCGTACATTTTATCTGCGGCTTGCGATAAAGCCAATCTCAGTTAGTACCGTTCATTTGCAATATTTCGCAGATTTTCCAATTTTTAATAAAATAATAACATAAAATGACATAGGTATCATAAAAACAAATTAATAAAAAAAAATCAAATTAATAATAATAATAAAAATAACGGTTATACTTTTTGAGGTTTCATTTATTCTTTGGGTTTTGTTACACCTTCGATCATCATAGCCGCTTTATAATAACCGTCAAATCATAATCATATGTCTCATATGAGTCATCACATCATTGAAAGCGCTACACGAAACACGAAACCTCTTATCCTAAGAAAATACAACAGCAACATCCCTGTATCTCAAATTTACATGAAACATTAAAAATCTTTAATTTCTAATGTTACCCAGAATCTAAAATACCTTCAATTTTAAACATCCCTGAACTTTCAAAATCTCAAATTTTTAAAATCTAAATTTCACAGAATCTCAAATTTCTAAAATTAAAAATCCTACAATTCACAAAGCTCCAAAAATCTAAGAATCCCAAACTCCCAAAGCCTTAAAATCTCAAAATATTAAGTTGCTCAGACTTCTCGAAATGTTTTAATGCCTTAATCTTCAAGATCATAAAATCTAAAGATTTTAAAATTCAAAAACCTCTACATCTCAAATTCCCAAAATCTCAAGATCCCGAAAAATTAAAATCACTACCTATATAATTTCTAAAATTTCAAGAATCTGAGAAAAAAGTAAAACAAAGGTACCAATAAACCACAACAATATTAGATGATTGGACGCGATAAACTCTAAAATCTTCAAAATCCCAAAAATTCTTAAATCTCAAATTCCCAACGTTTGAAAAAACTTAAGAATCTCAAATTCATAAAATTAAGAAAAATTAAATCTCGAATCTCCAAAATCTCGAAAATCTCAAGATTCTAAGCAATTGAAATTCCTAAATTTGAAATGTCTCAATAGTTCAAAACTTGAAATTTATAAAATTAAAAAAAAATACTACAAATTCAATTTTCATAAATCCGAAAATCAAAAATTCCCACAACGTCAAAAACCTCAAAATTACAAATTCTCAAATGTTCGATTCCAAAAAAGTCTAAGAATTCAAGAATTTTAATTCATTAAATTTAAAAATTCCAAATCTCAAGATCATAAAAAATTAAATTCCCAAATTTCAAGTCTCTCCAAATCAAGTTCCTAAAATTTGAAGAATCTCAAAATCACCAAATTTATAAAATCTCAAGCATACCCAAAATTTTCCAAAATCCGAAAGTCAAAAATTTTCAACCATTCAAATACCCCAAAATCGCAGGATCATACAATCTAAAATCAACAATTTTAAAAATCTAATAATCAAATATTCCCAAAATTCGCAAATGTCTCATTTTTTCCATATAGTAAATTCCCATCTTGTCAACATCCCCAAAATGTCATAAATCCAAAAGCTCTATGACTAAGCATGACGTATGACATTCCCAGGACTTCAAAAAATTGAAACATCTCAAATTCTTCAAATTTATGAAAATTAAAAATACCAAATTTTTAAATTTCCAAAATTTTAATAAATCCGAAAAACAAAAATTTTCAAAATTAGATGCCTTAATCACCTATTTTCATAAATATCTTATCTTATGATTCAAAAATTGTCGAACTTCAAATTCACATTTCAAAATGTTCAAGAATCTCAAATCCATAAAATTCAAAAATCCCAAAAAATCAAATTCCAATTTTTAAATCTCAAAAATTCCCAAGCTGTCATAATCTCAAAACCGCAAAATTTCTAAAATCCCAAAATTTTAACAAAATAGCAGAATCTCAAAATCTCTCAATGTGCCCAGTTTGAACCAAAATTTTATAAATCGCAACTCTGAAATACCCAAAATTTTAAATGTCTCGTAGTCTCTCTCAAATTCATGGAAACTTAAATTCCAACAATTTCAGGAATCTCAAATAACCCAAATTGCTCAAAATCTCGATAACGCAAAATTTCTGAAATTTACATATTTCAAAACTTTCAAGATCTTCAATCCCAAAAATTACAAAAATTCGAGGATCTGACCAACTATTTCAAAAATTTCATGTGCTCAAAATATTTAATTAACAGAAGTTCAAAAATACAAAAATCAGATTTCCAAAATTTTCTATGATCCCAAAATATCAAAAGTCCTTAAACCTAAAAACCTAAAAGTTTCAAATTTCTAAAATCTTAAAAGGCTCTAATACCAAAATCTGGATTGCCTCAAAATTTAAAAAAAATCAAGAAGTTAAATTACCCCAAAACCTGCAAGGTTATAAAAAACATCTGAAAATTCCGAAATCCAAAATTCTTAAAAAAAAATTTCCTAAATATTTAAATTACCATAATTTTAAGTCAAACATTTTAATTTGCTAAATCAAAAATTCAAAAATTTCAAATACCAAAATTTTAAAAATATTAAATTTTCCAAATTCTTCAACCATACCTCAACCAATTTTCAAGTTCTAAAAATGTGGTAAGTTCCGTAGGAACAAATTCCAAAAATTTCGAAAACCCAAAAGCCCAACTACCAATACAACCTATAATTTCAAATATCCTAAAGCGAAATTCTTAACAACTCAAATTCCCTACATTGCAGATATCGTAAATTCACAACGGGAAGAATCCTAAAATATTGAAAAAGTAAGTTGTAAAAATAGCAAATCCACAAATCCGAAAATCTGATTTCTGCGACTACAAAAATATCAAAATCTCTATTTCTAAATTCTCAAATTCTGAAGGCGTGAAAAATCTGCCACTAATAGTTAGGTACATTAAAAATGTTAGCTTACAACATCATTTTAATCACATCAATACAATTATAACAAAATTTACGTTATTACCAGTTCTATTTTACCATAAAGTTGATAAAGTGGTAATAAATCAAACTCAACACTCAATATTAAAAATATAAAACAAGCAAAGTAAATAAAATAAATAATAACACATTTCGATAGGTAAACGCAAATTAAAAGCGCTAACGTCAGACTATTAACTATTGCACTTTTTGTTTCTGATCATTTAGTCGCTTAACGCTTCTACAACAAAACGAGCTGCAGATCTTCCGCACAATACATGCAATTATAATAATAAATAATAAAGCGCTAAAGAATACATCGAGCAGTAAATATTGAATCCATGACAAAGAAAGCGCAGCACTACGCAGATGTGGCGCACCCTTGTGGCGGATAACATATTCGATCCAAAAGGTGGCTTTTTCCATAGGCGTCATTGGTTGGTCGTGAAGCATTTTGGATCTTTTCTTGGCATTATCCATGTACCTGCAAATTAATTCAAAGCAAAAGATAAACAAACCCAAACAAGCTGAGGCAACTGACGTGGAGTTATTAAGCAACGCATTTATAGCTCGGCCAAAATTTTCCTCAGTGAGTATATTGTAAGGGACGGCGACTCCAAATCCGGAAGCATCGGCAAATGCGGCATTGTAACCTTGATCCGCAAATACCGAAATTCCCAAAACCGGTACTCCAAACCACACTGCCTCTGTTATACTCAGCAGTCCACAATGAGTGATAAACAGACGAACGTTCGGGTGTGCTGTAACTCTGGATATTAACGGTATTCATGTATAAAAGTGATTACCTAAAACATCTAATTGGGGTGCCCATTTTACCAACATAATGTTAGAGGGTAGGCCAGGTGGCGTCACGGTACTGTCTAGTTTCCACAAGACCTTCTGTGGTAGTTGACCCAAACGTTTAACAATTGCTTCCAACTTTACTTTGTCCATGTGTTGGACTTGTAAGTTCGAGCCCATGCTGAAGTAAATGGCGCCTTGCTGGGCTTCATCCAAAAACAGTTCAATCGCGCTAGGAAGTTGCTTAGGAGGGTCGATATGAAATCCTCCGATTTCGACGACGTTAGGAAGATTTGCAGCAGGATTTGAGGTGCTGTAATGCGAATTTAGTAACACCAAAGAAACGTTGTAGAGGATTTCTCGCATGTGTGGGGACCCAGGAAAATATTTTTGCAATAGGTCATTGTGCCTGTTGACAGTATAAGTGTAGAAGTATACTTGTTGAACCAACTGAACGAACGCGTTGTAAAATCTCTGAAAGAAGGTCATTTTTGGAGGATAGTTCGTAAGCATATCTGGCATGAATGATGGGTTACTAGGGTTCCTCATTTGCTCATTGGTAAGCCAAGTAGGGCCCATCGTACTCAAAACCACGCAAATCGCATTGTAATAGTAACAGATTCCTTTCAGAGCGTGATTTCCCAATTGTTCCATTATAACGATATCAAATTGCTGATTCGATTGCAATAGACGTTGCAAGTTCTTTTCTTTTAAAACAGTTTCCGTCCATAATAATCCCACTTCGTCCATGTTAACCATAGTACTCCACATTTTAGCATCAAAGAATTTAAACAAGTTCCCGCCCGCCGCGCCTGAAAAGATTTTGTACCGCTATCGGTACCTATCGGTGACACTTGGACTTACTAGTTCCTTGTCCTTTTAAGTCCAATTGCATGGCCGTAAAGTTTGGCACTTCGTGTTTGGGCAAAACGGGTGTCAACATGGTAACATTATGACCTCTTGTAGCAAGCTCGAATAATAATTTCCTACCTAGAATCTGATGACTAAAGGATGGCTCGTGAAATATTCCAAGAATTCGCGAAGAATGTGCAACACTTTGTATGCCAATTAACATGAAAATAATATTCGGTAACATTTCTGTAATTTTATTCACTACGTTAGCCGATAAATATTTAAACTATAAATACGGAATATTGTTGATATAATCATGTAGGTATGTGATAAATGGATTGGCCTAGATTATAACTATGAGCAAATTTTACAGATTACTATAGCAATTTGTCTTGCCCTGGAATGTAATGTAACGTTAGGTGGAGCTAAAATTATGCCGGGGCTGAAAATGTATAGCTTTGGGCTTATAAACAAAGTTTTGGGTTTGCATTCAGATTCGTGTAGGTAGTAGCCCGGATAAAAAATGTAACAAATTTTATAAATTTTGGTAACCCAGACAAGATTTATTTCGAATTTCATTTTATTATTTACCTATTACAATAAAAAAAGACGTATATAAATAAGTAGCTATGAAAATTAACTTCAATGGTAACTGCACTACTGCTTCGGGAACGGGGAGACTGTCCATCCCTGCTCTCTCATTGCTAAAGGCGCCTACAGACACACAAACATTCGTTCAGTTGAGATATGTACGCACGTAGGTACTTGTACTGTACTTGTACAGTACCACAGATCTAAACACTCACAGTACTTGATGAAGGTAGCCGACTCGCCTGCCATTTTGGAGCCCCTGACACTCTAAATCTATGCACAGAAAGACTGGTTAATGTGTAAGTAAAATCTTATCTTAGATACCTTTAATAAACTTTAAAAAATCAATAGCTTTTCTTTAAATGGTATACAAGATGCAAGACATTGTCAGTGGGCTCGAAAATGGCGGATGAACTTACAGACGAGTCAGCTGTGATATAATTTAGTTATCCACCGTACTTCGACGGCCGCTAAAAGACGGTACCGCTTTTGAATCAAGCTTTTAAGGAAATTCTCCACAAAATTGATCAGAATCTTCCAATACTTCATTATTCAATTGCCATCTATCAAAACCCACAATATTTCTGTGAAATATAACAATAAAATGATGTTGTCTTTTGCTTAGAAATATTAAGTATGGCAACACTGCTAAAATGTTTTAGTAAAGTAAGTTCTATGAAAGTAAGGTCAACGTCGAAGGTGTTTGTAATATGTACACGTTTTTGTTTAAAATATTTTTCTTTTCATTATAATTGCTCCAGTAACTCTTTGTTGTTTTTACTCCAAAACAAACGTTTCCCAATAATTTCAGGAATGCTTAATTCGCGCTTCTCACGAAACTGCATGATATCATCATTATTTTGGCTATTAATTTGGAACGCATATTGACTTTAAAGATTTAAAGATAACAAACTTTTGGATTGACCACCCCTCTAGAGAACCACCCTGTATACTTCCTAATACTTATTACCTAAAAAACGGGCAAACCTTACTCAATTTACAACAGTGTGCGTGACATTACTTAACAAAAATTTAAATATACTATCAAGCTCCCGTTTCAGAGTTGCAACGTTGCTGATGCCTAGGCACACAGAATTCTCCTGTAAGTCTCTTCCGTATCACTGTATTACGGTTGATTCTCCCTATACAGAACGTTTCCATACCATATCCTTTCCATAACCATTCCGTAAATTATTATACCTAGGAAATTGACCTTTAAGTGATATGTGCGTAAGACATTAAGCCGCGCGCTAATACGCATTCTCCTTTCCGTGCACATATGGAAGGCGAATGTGTATTAGCGCGCGACTGAATGTCTTACGCACATATCACTTAAAGGTCAATTTCCTAGGTATAATAATTTACGGAATGGTTATGGAAAGGATATTGTATGGAAACGTTATGTTAAGTGAGAATCAACCTTTAAGTTTTCCACGTGGGTTTCACAGTAGTAGATAAGCAAGGCCGGTATGAGCCCACGTTGACCTTGACATATGCGCATGCGCTAAGTTGAAGGTCATTCGATTCGGTCTATAACCACAATGAGCTTGGTGGGGCGGTTTTTGGGTAGAGCGACGGAAGCAGGTTTGTTTATCGGAAACAGGTTGGTTGAGCAGAAACGGGTCTGTATCAAAAACAAGTCGGTTAAATGGAAGCAGGCCTGCTCAGTGAAAATAGGTCCGTTTAACAAAATCAGGTTCGTTTAATCGACCTGTTTCCGTCGACAAACAGAACTGAATCGAATGACCTTGAACTTGGCGCATGCGGTGATCTCAAGATCAAAATCGGCTCATACCGGCCTTGTTTATCTGCTGACTGTTTTCTGAAAGATTTGGAAAGTCCGTTTTCATTTTCTCCGATGCACGTCATATGTCGATGATTTTGTAACGTTAACGCTTTTTCGCGTACTGTCTAATGTAACAAAATTACAATGATATACGCACACGGCTCGGGGTGAATAATAGGGTTTTTGTATACTACAAAATCGAAGCAAAAGGGAAATATAGTAATAGTAAATAGGATATGCGCCATAGTCTTAGTAAATTTCAAAAAAATGTTCCAAAACCCACTCGTGGGTATTGCCGCGTAACACAAAGTATTGAAACGACGCACACAAAATGTCGAATCTGCATATTGAAGCACATCCACGTCCAGAGAAAGAGAGGAGTTATAAGTTATAAAGTTTCAAAGAAATATTACCATACATAAGAAAGTTGGCTATGAGCAGCCTGTGCAGTCACTGCGTATGCCCACATAATTTTTACTATGTGCGAAATGTTTGCCTTTACTAGAAGCGCCTGTGGTTAAAATTTCAAAGAAATATCTCCACAAATAAGAAATTTAGGCATTGCGCAGTATGCCCACACATCACTGCGCATGCCCACACATTATTTTTGCTATGTGCGAAATGTTTGCCTTTACTAGAAGCGTCTGTGGTTAAAATTTCAAAGCAATATCTCCATAAATAAGAAAGTTGGCATTGCGCAGTCACTGCGCATGCCCACATAATTTTTACTATGCGCGAAATGTTTATCTTTACTAGAAGCGTCTGTGGTTAAAATTTCAAAGAAATATCCCCATAAATATGAAAGTTGGCATTGCGCAGCGCAGTCTGCGCAAAACATGGAGTTAAATAAAACTGATCGAATTGGGCAAATATAGACCACAACAGCTATCAATTAGCGAAAACCCGAAGTCTCTAGGTGGCCCAGGGGCCGAGATCTCGACAGAACGGACGGACGGACGGAAACACGAGCACATGAGCTTTACCTCAACTTCGTTGTGTTACACTAAAAAGAGAATACTCACCAGAAGGGAGAAACAAGGCAGACTCCTTGTTCTTGATGAGCAAAACCTTCCTAATACCAGGTGGGGCGAATTTTCGCCCCAGCATGCCTATTTACGTGGATATTTTTGTTTTTAGTCTACTTACAGGGTTGTCCTCATAGCACATTGTTCTTTACAATCTTAGGAAGCAACTAAACCAAACATGTCTAAATTATTTTTAAAAATAATGAGATTATTATATTTAAAAAAAGCTGAGCGTACTGCATTCGGGGCGAATAATCGCCCCACGTGGTATTTGGTGTCGGTGATTTGTAATTGTAATATAATTATTGCCCCCAATTATTTAGAAATTTAACGTTTATTTAATTACTGATTATGGAAATTACACTTTCGGGTTGTTTATGCAGTTTTGCATTTGGACCTAATTAATTTCTATTCATTCAAAGAATCCTTCTAGTATAATAGTTATTACTAAAAACGTTTTGAAAATTATTATATCTCACATTATTCCCTCTTTTACATCATTTTAACATTAATTTTGTCTTAAACCTGCAAAAACAACACTGGGGCGAAAATTCGCCCCACCTGGTACTAGGTGTTTTAAAATTGACCTGGTATTAGGAAGGTTAAGAAATAAATGACATGGTAGAGTATAAACAAGAATTGATGTTACAATCGAGAGTAATTCATAATAAATGATCTCCAAACAGTTTTGTACAGGAACTATATTGAAATCTCCAGGTATACACTTTGAAGTAGGTAGTAGTAATTCATGACGTGTCAATCTTACTAAGATGGCGGGCCACGTAAAAATGCGATGTCATTCACGTACTGCGTAGGTAATAAGATTTAACTTAAGAGAAAACTGTAAGACACTTTATGGGCATTCACAAATGGCGCTTCAATGGAGCAACCACAGGCACATCAGGAATAGAAAGAGAAAGAACCCCAAAGAAATATGGTGACAACCAAAACCAATAAGTCAGGTACACATAAAGTCTGTAAAAAAGTAATGGTAATGATAATCTAGTAAAGAAAAAAGATAACAACCTCTAGCGACGAAACAAAGAACTATTGTAAAAGAAGCCTATAACACTCCAATGGCCTCTAGCGGTGAAAATAAATAACTAGGTAAAAAAAACTCTACTATAGGAATAACTTGCATGTTCTCTATACGGGTTTACAAAGGAAATACATAGATAGCGAAAGAATTTAAATAAGAGTAAGTACAAGCATAGACCAAATACCTCAGAGCATTGAATATCCAACTCCTCAGAATGCTTATATGAGCGGCGGACTTTGGAGTATGTCGCCGGCCGTTATTTTCCAGAGGGCGCCGCGGAACGTGCCGTTTTGAGGTATGCTAAACGTTGCCACAAGATGGCACCCTGCGGATATAGATATTTCAATAATAGCGAAATTTTAATCACAACAGTTACCGTTATCCACTAACAGGGGGCGCCGTTGAGGAACTGTGATTACAGACGGTGTTGTTAGAGCATAATTGCCCTAAATGTGCACTGCACATCATAATACTAATATTAAAAAGGATTGCATTTTATCATTAAGGGTGTATTCCACTTAAATTTTAATTCTATTTGACGTATGTTGGGTTGGCTAATACTTAATTGCAATGAAATGGTAACGAGTAGACAAAGATCGAAGAATGTACCTGCCCTGTATAAAGTAAACAAGTAATTAGGCTAATTTATTAGTCATTGTGATGAATATGCAGATAATTACACATCGATTAGAAGACGCAGATATAATTTTATCATATTATACAGCTATTCCTCAATAATTTCACTTTTCCCAGTCTGTTGATACCGATGTCCAAACGGCCAAAAAAAAAGGAAAAATTTCGAAAGGCCTAGACGCGGAAGTCGCGGCACCCCCCCGCGGGGGCGGACCGGTACCGGAACACGGGGGCTGGAGAGAGGGCTAAATTGCTCGAAAACGTGACGTCTTTTCTCTATCGGAATTCGGAACGCA